TTTAAGCGCAGATTGTTTTAAAACTGTCATTTTGATATTTTAAAAATATAACGAATAATTTAAGTAACTGTAAATGATATCGTTCCAACAGATGCCGTTTTCAAATACTTACATAAAGTTATTGTAAAAATTAAATGTAGACACTTAATACATTTTTAATAACAAAGTCTAATGAACTTTTTAGTGCAACATTCTCAATACAAAATATCGCTAACCATAGTTGGCCCTTTGGCGTTTTAGATAATAGTTAAAATTTTAAGGACTCGTGCGAATTGTTAGCAGGTAGCACGTCATTCGAGTATCTTATCGAATAGTCTTGGCAGCCATTAAAAAATCGTTAGCGTCCCGCTGGACACCATTTCAAGACGCCTGCACATACGGATGCACATATAAATCCTCATGAGTTCCTGGTACTAAATTTTGGTATTTGGTTTATATTAGTAGTAAATTACGGTGTCCAAGCCGGAACTAGCGACCACCGCCGCGATCATCCACCACGACGTAATTAATCCTGCAGACGCCACGTCCTAGTGGCTGCATAGAAATCCGATGTATTAATAATATTATTATTACCGGTGAAATTCTGTGTATTACGACATCATCATGTCACTATGAAGTCAGTTACAGCTATTGCAACGCGCTGCATTCGAAGCTGTGTAGTCGCTTTTTTGCGGTATCGCTTAACCGCATAAACGTCGGACAACATAAATAACGCGGCAATCCGTACGGGCACGACTAGTGACGTGCAGAACGCCTTCTCGGCTATCTAAACACACGATCGCATACGTTAGTCCTTACGAATTCTCCAGTACTTGGTTTGTGATGTTTGCCCGAAAATACCGATTTAAAACAATTGTGCCTGATCCTTAGGGACCCGTTACTCAACACTCCTAAATCAGTGAACGCCATTAGTATTTTTTTGAAATTTTAATTGTGTAGTATCAGAGTAATTCTGTTGATTCATTATGCATGGCAACATTTAAAACACTTATGTCATTTAAATATGCTAAGAATATTTTTTTTTTATGTAAATCACCACCTACAAAAGAACCCCAAGTCCGTTCATTTCGTGAAATATATTAACATTTATTGGCCCGAATTTTTCCGAACGCTGTTAGGAATACTTAATTTTTGCACTCTGTGCATGTGTATACTTTTGCGTTCATTATTTTTAATGATAAAGTTACATAATTATCTAAGGCTTCAGTCGTTACTTTTTCTATTTTTTACATTTATTTAGTTAGTCGCTACACTGCTTTTATATCGATTGATAACTTACGACTTTACTTTCGGTTAAGTTTATAAACATTATTTTTAGAATCTTTAACAGAAATTTCAAATATAATATCTAAAATCATACAGTCATGAAATAACATGTCAAATGTAAAGAAAATACCCCACTCTTTAAATTCAATTAAATACATTTTTAATTATGATTAAAAATTATAACGTATGAAACTATTAAAATTTATTTTATATTCATTTATTCATTTTTTTAACGTATAGAAAACCAAAAATATGTACAGCTTATTATACACTCTAATAAAAGTTGTTGGAATGTCGTTACTTAAAGAAAGTCAAATGTATAGTTTTTATTACACAAAGCGCATTTTAAATAGTTTTATCGCATGTTACAATAAAGTGACTTTTTCTACAGCCACTGATTCCTATGACTTTTATGACACTATTTACGTTTTTTTTATCGAGACGCTCATTGCCATTTTCATTGGAAATATCCAAAGTACCAGATTTCTTCTTCAAACGTGTTAGTACCATCTATTCTCTGTCATTTTACATTTACCCTCTAATACCACGGTTAAGTTAAGTAAACATTAAGTAAAAAATTAGTTACTGTAAAACAGTTCAAAATGTGTATATACAAAAAAGAAGGCGGTCGTATTCAGTAAAAGTATTTTAATTGTTAAGTATTGTAAAATTAATGAACCATTGAATGATATCGTTATCACCGTGATCATCGTCATATTTATTTCATCTTGTTAATTTTTCATTGGTCCATCACTGATTGATGATAGTGTTTTCTTTGTCCAATTATAACAAATAATACGAAATATATTCGTTAATTTCAATTGATTTCTACAAAAATTGATTAGAACATATTTTTACAGTAATAAAGTGCGAGGTATAAGAGGATATAATTATTACATAAATTCTTTACAATTTTAAATATGTTCTCAAGTGTATTAAAATTCATTACAATGTTTTATTCTCCTAATTTATATTTTTTAGTTAATTTAAAATCACGATAAATTTACAGACAAAGAATTTCCCGCGATGAACTTATTGTGTTATGATTCACGACCCACACTTGTTATAAATATTTTTTGATTTATTGGTTATTAATTACGTTTTAGCATCATCCCTTATAACTAATAGGGATGTCAACTTTATTTTTTAAACGCAACATACATATTTAATAAGTCTTTAAAAATAGGAAATTTTCTGATAAAGAAAATGGCGAGTCGATAATAACTTTTGGACCAGTACTTCGGAAATAAAAATGTGGACAGGGCGAGAAAAGCGAGTGATAAGACTATACTTATCATTAGATATTTCTTGGTCACATTCTTCTTCCCACTCCGTCATAAAAATATTTATAACGTATCGAGTAACTAAAAAAAATCTAAAACAAATTTGTTCAATATTGTTTTTATTTTGCGAGTAATGGAGTGGTTTTAAGTGGTAAACGGATTACCCTCTTTATTTTCACTAAATTATGCCACTCGACTTCTCGAAAATACTAATTTAAACAGATATTTAGCTGACTTTATTATAGTAAATGACGTTTGACACAATTAAATTTCAACCCTATTTTTATTTCTTAAATGTTCCTTTAATTAAGACAGTAATGTTACACATAACCATTGAATTAATTATCAATCAAAAGTTTGTCACGAAAATGTTCGTATATTTAAAAATACGAGACTCGAAGATTTAATGTCACTGTTAATCAATTGATATCAAGAAAATGTACATGTTTAAAGATTAATTCGATTTAAAAATAAATTTACTGTTAATTCTTGAATTAGTAATTTTTCATTTTAGATGAGTATAATTAAATAATTTTAAAAAGTCACGAAAGACCGTATTAGATGTATGTGAAATTAAAATGACACTTCATCAAATTATACTCATTATAATTAACTCATTTATGATTGATATTTGTTAAATGTAAGAAATCGATTATTAATCAAAATGAAAATGTTGACTTATATTTTAGTTTAACTACATTGTTCTTTTTAGGGTTAATTATCCCAGATAGCAATTTAAAAAATAATATCAGAAAACATTTCAAAAAAATGCTATCTGGGATATTAGCTCCGAAAGCAAAAAATCTAAGTCGGTTTACATGTGACGAGTTCGAGTTTTAGAAATGTGAAAAATAAGAAGGTCGACGTACTTTGTTTTTTTTTTTTTGAAAAACACTCGTAAAAAAAATTAACGTTAAACAGGTGAAAAAAACTATTTTTTATTTTATGTAATATAAAAAAATATATTTCTATATACGGAGAAGGAAAAAAATAAATTTTATCTCATTTCTCGAAGAAAAAAAATTTGGATTTACAAAGATTGTTTCATTTGACAACAAAAGAATCTTATAAAAGTGTACTTACTGAAACAAAAAAAAAAATAGAAGTAAAAAATACGTAATTATAGAGTCGATGCTTTTTACAGCAGCGTATCAAAGCTAAAAGGAAATAATACTAATGTCGTTAATACTTATAATATGAAAAGTGAACTTTAAAGACATGATATTTTCATTCTTACTTTAAAACACATTAAAATAAAATCAGAGAGTGAAAAGCGGCTCTAAAAATGTTTTCGTTAATTTCCTAGAGATGACATATAATGTCTAATATCTAACTACTCGGGAAACTCGGAAGACAATAATGAAAACTTGTTCGTCATACAATTATATATGCACATGTCATAAATACGAGTGATTATTTGTTTTCTTGTAAGCTGTTGTATGGAAATTATATAAATATGCACGTGCCTCTAACACACGTGTACAAATATACAATTTCTTCAGAGATGTTTGGCAATGCGAAAATATCAACAACCGAAACTAAATACCGAAATTTCGATAGAGATATTTTTACACTAATCCGGAACACCAAAACGATTGCGGATAACTGCAAAGCAATAGAATAAATATAATTTAATATTTTCATGTTTTAATGTACAAAAGGGCAATTATCGGGCAAGTTCCAAATGAAATAACGACTTTTCAGAGATCTTAAATGCGATGCAAAATATAAATAAATAAAACTTCTGTATATGTCAACGAGCGCATCATTAGTGAAAATAAATAGACTGACTCAAATTTTCCGAAGGTTTATTCTGCTCACGTAACACATTAATATGGCCAAGACTCACTTTTCCCACGATACTTCAAAAAAGTTATACACCGAATGATAGAATAAGCATACTTAATATACCCAACAATAGTTCTTTCATCTCTTTTTATCGTCGTCTACCACTATACGTAAATCTTTATACATCCAATCATCTAACACATTTTTTATCAAACTTTCGCTGTTACAGTTAACACTATGTGTAAATCGTAGCTGCAATATATTTGTTTATTTCAAAGACGCCGTATTTTTTGGAGTTATAATAACATTTCTTTTTTCTTTCATTATTTATTTATTTATTTTTATTTGATCATTAAAAATATAGACTACAAATTTCGATTGTCAACGAACGCCTTACAATGTTTCTGCATTATTGTTTGATCCCCGAGGACATAAAAAGTTATTACAATATGATCTAAAAGCACAAAGATCAAGAAGTACAGAATGTTGCCTAATTATTATTTACATCACAAATAACTTCTTTTTTTTTTTGATGAAAAAAAAATATATTTTTTTCGTTAAGCTGGAAACTTTTTTTGTTTTATTGTTCAACGATAAAGTTCATTTTTATTTGTTTTCACAAGTATTTTATCATATAAATAATTGTTTTTTCTATGTTTTTAGGCTGCAGTCAAAGTAGAAACACATTCTTGCCGTCACGCTACAAAACCTAATAATAAAGAAAAAAACCAAAATCAAAAGTGTATCGCATGTAAGTGAACTTTATTATAATATTACTTTATTAATGTTTATGAAAATGCTAACTGAGAACGAGGGAGTTCTAGAGCAACGTGATTTATGGAAGATGGTCTAGCCTATTACTGTCACTAACTTCTACTTTCTCATTAATCACAATGTGGCAATCGGTAAAGATAATTTAGGAGAGGTAATACTATTCGTCACAATGAAGATTACAAAAAAAACCTTTTTATACTTATAATTTGTAAGAGATAAAAATATATTTAACGAACTATTATAATGTACAATCTAAGTTAAAAGTAATGGAATACAGACTTCAAACACCTTTCGTTACATCAATTTTCATCATATAATTCAGACGGGAACGCTGTTACAATTTGTTTAATATAAACAAAAAATTATGCGATGAATAATTTAAGGTTTTAATTCGACTCAGGAATAATTAACATAATACTTTCATGTTTGCTAAATCATTACCACAAACAAGATCACCAACAGACTAACTAAATAAACCAGAAATTGTGTAGATTTTGTTAGGAAACTGCTGAACGCGGCGAATATTTTTCTCCGTTAAAATAATATATTGTGTGTGTGTGTGTGTTTAATTTGTCGAGAAGGTTGTTTTCAAAGAAGTACTTGTTTTTATTAAAAATAATCAAAATGTCATCTTACAATTGAGTGAACTTGTGTGGTAGTTGCAATGACCCTTTGGATTGTAATTGAATGAAACTCATCAATGGTACCATACTATGGTACGGTAAAGTTTTAATCAATACAGGGCTACTTATTATAAGCTTTGGATCAATAATGGATTATTTTCTGGCGCCCGGTATTTTTGTCAACTAACGATATCGGGTGATACTAAACTGGGTTACCGATGCGTATTTGCATGCATGAAAACACTGAATGTGTTGATATTTACGCATGATCAAAATATTATGATGCAATCTTGTATACAATGAGCACCAGGTACAGCCATTGAAATAAAACTATTCAAATATATATATATATATATATATATTTTCTAATAGACAAGTGTACTTGTGAATTCACAGACGAGTCGTTTTTGAATTTCAATCGTGTCCATAATATTATTATTTTCATCGATTTGTAAGCATTTTTCTCGTGTCTCCAAACGGTTTTGCAAAGTCAGGAATTTTCAATGGTGTAGCGCTTTTTAATTATTCCGTCTTAATTTCGATTTAGATTTGCACTCATTTGATACGTCGATTGAGGCCAATTTCTACCGTAGTGGTTTCAAAAATGAAAAGTATAAACATTGTTCCTTCTTGTTTTATAGCAGCTCAAAAAAAAAAAAAATCGAGGTAAATTTACAAGAAAGTCATTTTATGCTTTTCAATTTCATTAAACACTATAAATCGTTTTAAAACGGCTTTTTATTATGTTCCGATAGGTTTTATGTAAAACATTATTTAAATTACTTATTTACCAGTATTAAGCTTTAGATTTATGCATAATATTTTAAAACGATTTTCCCGAAAATAAGTCTCTATTCACCAAGACACACCCATGGCAAACCATTAGCTCAATTTGTTCTTATTTATCAGAGTGCAAATTTTTAGTTGGCTTATTCTTATAAAACGAAAATGTAGTAAAAACATTCACATTTGTCAAAAAAATACATAACGTACTCATTAGCCGTATATATTCGTTTGAAAGTACTTTATTAGTGTAAATTCTTATGTAATGAACATCTCTCCCTTAAACTTATTGTTTTTAATTACTGTTTGTTATTTTATATTATAACATAATGAAACCATAAAAAAACGATTAAATCTAAAATATTAACATGTTAATTATTTAAATTTTCCATGGTTCAATGACGTTAAAAAAATTACAAAATAACTAGCGCTTATATAAGTGTAATTAAATGAGAATATTTAGAAAATTGTATTTTTACTTATATTTGTTAAGAAATTACTCTAAAAATGTAATCGCCCCAAATCTACTGACCAGATTTAATTTTCAACTATAGTTTGTATGAATATTATTGTAAAAATCTTATATTATCGAGGTCGACGAACTCGATAGGTTACTTTAATTTTAGACGTACAAAAGTGTATATTTATACACAATTAAACATTTTTAATGGACCTTTTTAAATATTTCAAGTATATTAAGAATATGTGTACAGAACATGCAGTGCCAAATTTTGAGGTTTCTCGCTCAATGGTTTTTATGTATCGTACCAGTGGCACTAACAACAGTAACTATGTAATAAATTGTTTTTAGCTTCACTGCTTACTTCGATAATAGAAAAAGATACACAAATGAAAAAAAAAAGTTGCAATTCAGGTCAGTTGTTTCACGGATTATTAGGTTATTCCGAAACTTTTCAGTAACTATTTAAATCCAAATAAATTGCGATTACTCTAAAAACTGTTGGCGACAAAAGAAGTTAGAAATTAAAGATTTATAGCCCTTCTATCATTTTGCACTGTATTCTCTCATTAGAATTTATCGAAGAGTAGTTATTCATCTGACATCTACAACAATAGTCGTTTAACGACAATTAAGTATGCAATACAACTTACTCAGATCGCTTCCATAGTAATTTAAAATTTAGACAATATCTTCTTCTGAATGAGGCCGATGAAGTTATACATAAATATAATGTTTGTCTGCCTGTACCGTGTACTTTGACATTAATATATTCAGTGTTTGCCGTCTATAAGATATAAAATTACATTTGATTAAATTAGTCATACGTACTATTAGACGTTGTGGTAACATGCCAAAAGTCACCTTAACTACAATTTAATCTTAGAAATCTAGTTAATTATTAAATAACTTTTAAATACTGTAACTGTAAATAATATTACATACCACTTAAATAAATGAGCTAAAAAAAAAAACGTCTAATCGACGACAAGTGCTGACTAGTCAACTAAAAAAGTTGATCCAACGCATAGTCGTTGGCAAGCATTGTGTAATAAAATTTATGTAAAATAAGAATTTCCATAAACAAATGCTTGTGAACTTATTTTCTAATACATACAGTTGTGCTCAAACTATTCAATGGATTGTCTATAAAACTATAATTCATTATGTTAAATCTACTTTATAAATTTACCTATTACGGTATGTATTTTTCACGTAAATATTAAACGCTGTAAATCAAACTTTATGATAACAATCTTTTTACAAAATGTAGAAAGTAGTTTGTCACACGTCATACAGTTTTCCTCGAATAAAATATATGATTTTCCATGCTGAAATATTGCGTTTAGATAGCAAAACATCAACCATTCTTAGAAGTTACACATTTTTGACGACGTTCCCAAAAAATTCTATTGAAATAAACGTCTTTTATGATTGCATTGTAACGGAAAGACACTTTTCGAGGGGAAGTGTAGCACATATTATATTCAACTACAATAGATCCATTGTCGCATTTGATAAATAATGTGTACAGTTATTATTGTCAATAAATCGTTGGAGCGTCAAATGTTTTTTTTTTTATTTGTATTGCTAAAAAATATAAATAAACGTATTAAGTAATGATTTTAAATATTCTTCTTTTATACTTCATTTTAATAGGAAAATACAATATGATATTATGAAGTTTTATCAATTAAAAAATGTAGGAGTTTCAAAATTTAACTCTACACCAACATAACGTATGTAGGAAATAAAACTTATTAGGGATGAAAATTGTTCATCTCTATCGCATAGTATTTCTTTTAAAATACTCAGTAATATAATAACAAATATTATTTGGAATTTTCAACAATAAAACATACATTAATATTGACGGATGCCCAAACGTATGTACAACGAGACTCGTTTCTCAAATTTCCAATTAGTTGTATCTCACATTTCTGCCAGTGCTTACTTAAGGCAACGTTAAAATATATTACATGCATTTTTTTCATATTTAGCAAAAGCTTTATCATGTAAACAAATTATGAATATATTGAAAATATACTACGTATGCAATTCGTTAAAAAATATGACGTTATTAAAAAATAATTTGAGTAAATATTAAAATATATCGACATAAAATTATCTTTTTAATTACATGAATAATTAACACAGAATAAATAAACGCTCCAATTATTACTTTTATTACACGCCATCAGTTGTTTATTACATTAATTAATCTAACCTAATTTATATTCCTTTACCGTTTTCAATTTCTACATAAATATCATATCACGCTCCACTGAAACTGGAGGAAAGTAATGCAGGCGCATCACGTGTAAACATGTATTACTAATTATATTGAAACGGATAAAACGCCTAGGGTAAAAAAATAATTACCGTCCACAGATATTCCGGACAGCCGAAACAAATACATTTTGCACTGCTGTTTACGTGGTGAATTCAATAAATCTCATCTCATATCCGCATATCTTCATTGACGTGATAATCAGTGGAATAAACACCAAGTTAGTTTTGCGGTCTTGAAAAATATCCATAAAAATGTACACCATCTCTTTATAATGAGCACGAAGTACATTTGATATAACGATTCTAATTATATTTTGACAATTCTAGTTCAAAATCATGACAACATTTTATGTTTTATACATTGTCGATACATTGAAAACTGCATATTTGAAATTGAAACGGCCGACTTTGATTGAGATACGATAAAATTTCGATGCCCTTTCAAAAAAAAATTGTAATTGATTGTAGAATTTATAAATAATTTCTACCATAATATGGTTATAGAAACATTTTTTCCAACAAAGATCCATTAAAACCTTTATTTGTACTAAATAAATCTGACAAATACATCATCATAACCAATTAGCAAAATTTTAACTTCTTAACATAATATATAAACTCATTAAGGAACTAATGTTTCATTTGTTTTATTCTATAAATATCTTTGTTTTATAAAAAAAACTTTTATTTTATTTCCCATCTTTTTATTTTATGTCACTTAAAAAAAGTTAAATATTTCTTTTCACTAATAATAAGATTACTTGAAATATGTTTATTGAATAGATTTTATCAAAATGTTTGCTAGAATTTTCGAATATTTGTAAAATTAAAAACATTTTATTCATTTAATTGTATAATATCTTGTTAAGCTTCTTTGAAACATTTTACTCAGTGTGTAAATATTTTGATGTACTTATAATAAAATATTCTTTAATCTATTACATTATCTAATTTAGTTGATAAAAATAAATAATGTTTATTTTTCAAACTTGTTTATTCTACAGTATACATGTATATTAAAGGGAAACCGAAAAAACATCCTGTGAAAAAATATCTAAATATTAAAATACTTCAGGAAAAACTATCCATTCCACTACATTAAAACATATTTTTCAATAAATAATACTTTAATATAAAATCAGATATCTTTGATGCTTTAATTAACATAAATATAACAAAAGGTATCTGACAGTATAATATATGATATTATTCTAAATATGCTCTTGTGTCAATGTTCGACAATCAGTCATTAAAGTAATGAACTTTACTAAAATTTTGGTAAATTGGTTATGCCACTTCATTGCATAAAAATGGATCTACATTATGTATTCCAAACTACCGAACAATTAATATACTAAAATAAATTGCACGAATTTTTAAAAAATAACCGAACTCAAGCAAACAATAAGTTTGCATCTTCACGGTTTAATGCCAAGAATAACAGTTATCAATTCATTTCAATTTACTAACACAATATACAAATCAATATGACTCGTTTAGTATATGTATTTATATAATAATAATAATAGTTTTCATTGATTCTTGAAGAACAACCTTACTATACCAACTACTTTCTTATGTAAATAAATACAACTATTGACTTATACTCAAAATAAAATTTAATAATATACTTTGAGATCTAATAAAAATGCGCATCGATATAAACCTTATATAACCTAAAATTTGAATAGTAAATTGTAAGATCTAAATATATTTTTACCTACAAAATCTTATAAGTGTTCTCCACAAAATTAGATTCTTTTTAAATCAAATATATTGTACTAGCATTTTTATATTATATATTTGGTACCCAATTTTCGTTAAGTATTATTGACTTTATTAGTTCAAATCTCATTTAGTAAATTAAATAGAAATAAACATTTTGTATTTATAATAAAATTTCGGGTAATATGAATATAAAAGGTATAAATAGTTCATCAAAAATATTATTGTACAATATTTAATATTTCTTTAAAACTTCATTTCTCAATAACATCTTTTTATATAAAAATTTTCCATATAAACTCATATTTTAATATTGTTAAAACATATTATTTAAAAAAATATATGCATACTTCCATTTGAATATAATCAAACTAGATGAATATTTTTTTTTATTTTAATTTAATCTTTACAACGAAAAATAAAACTTAAAATAAAATGTCAAGTGGCTTATAAGCTAAAAAATGACTGTTGACCTAAAGTTTATAAAATAATATACTTAAGAAACTATATGAAAAAAGTATACAATGTTTGAAAATGGAACTTTTTCTTTTCTAAACGAAAAAAGTTCTGCGGGTAACTAAAATTCGCAATAAAAAAATTCGTTATTGCGCTTTACACATCAATTATGGTCGAGCACAATATAAAACTGTGCAACATAACTTTGACAAACTGTAGTCCAATATATTTGCGTCCTTAAGAAGTAAGTCTAATGGTTAAAAATTAACGTAACTTCAAAAACTGTGTCGAATTTTAAAACATTTTAACAGCTAGCTAAATGTATGCATATAAAACAGTTAATTTCTTTACACAAATTACACTGCATTTTATACATTTGATTTCTCTTCTCTTAAGTAATAAGCATTTTGTCTTAAAATTTGTACCACACATCTAACTGGGAAACAATTTTTGCTCCAGCACCTTAAACTTGTATTATACAATTGATACATTGAAACAAATCATGCCGGCTGCAGACACCTGAGTCGAATTTATTATGAACTTAGTTAATAAATTAAACAAACTCAGAGTGTACGATATTTGAATTTTACGGAATATTATTCTCAAAATATTCAAATGTAATTCTATGTAAATTGTGCGATATAAATTGTAAATATGAAATATAATTCAGTACTTTAGATTTCAGTAGACATTACATATACATTTTTTTCAATACAATTATGATTTTTCTTTTGTTCAATTATTTTGTTATTATTGCTAAACCTTATTTTTAAAAATTTGATATATACTCAAAAATTAAAAACAAATTCACGTTATAATATTTTTTAGTTTACAAGGGTCTTAATACACAGCTAATTTTTCTTAATTTGGTTTTCAGATGACTATAACAGAGTGGTTTTGAATCAAATGCCTGACGTACCAGATTCGGATTATATCAATGCTTCTTATGTAGATGTAAGTGGAAAAAATATTGCAATAGTTTTACTATACCTTAGAATTTAAATTTTTACAAAGAAAATTTATTAATGCAATTTATGGCACTAAATCATATCTCACAAACAAGAGCTATTTTGAGTTAAATATTTATTTTATTTAAAATTAAATTCAGTCAATAAAGAAATTTACACTAGTTATAAATTTTGTTTCTATGAACGAGATATTGATCATTACTTCATAAGGATTTTTTTTTTATAATTTAAAGAGATGTTCAACTTTTATCAGAAATTCGCAAATATATAATTTGACTATTACTATATTACTACAACAATAGTAATAAAACTTAAATCTCTAGCTTTAGTTATTTAGCTAAGGCAAATTTTGAATATATTTTTAAAGTTTTAGATTTTATCATACTGCTAGTATAGCTATAATCATAATGAAATTTTAAATCTCTTTACCAAGTGGTTTAAACTATTAAAGCGGCACATCTTGATTTAGCATTTTTCAAAGAGAAATTAAAAAGCAAATTAAATTTCCAGTCTTTACCGGTTATAATATACGTATACAATATTCAGTATAAATGAGATTTCGTGGTGTGATACAAGTTACTAGTGAAATTACTCATTGAATATGACACGTTTTCAATAGGACACTTTATGTTTACATTCGTGATTAAATGGAATGAAAAAATAGTGATTCCGTCATAAATGAAACAAAAAAAACGTTTTGCAGTTATTTTGCAATAAGTACAACAAAATCTTGTAAAACTTTTTTCGTTTAACAAAGAAATAATATAAGTTTTATAAGTCTTTAGTATTATCTATCTGAAAAAAATTACGCAGATAATGATATAAAAAACTTTTGCTAATGGAGTGCTACATAAAATACAAGATACTTCAATACTAAAATTATTATGAAATATTAAAATAAAATCTCACTTAAAAATTTTCTCTATATACTTAAAAAATGACCCAGTTGTATACCAAAAAAAACTAAATTTAATAGACTAAAAGATAAAAATGAATTATAGTTTTATCATAAAGAGTAACTAGCTAAATATGTGTGTATTATTTCCATAGAAAATTAAACACTCTAATAACAAAATTTATTGAAGATGCAACTAACTGTTTATCATTAAAAATAGTTGCAAATTTATAATTGTAAAAGGTTTTAATATTATTACTTTTTAATTAATTACATAAAAAAATTTTTAATTATGATAAAAAAATTGTATCTCGCATAAATAAGAACACAAGTATGTTTTTATTGAAGTATAAATTATTAACAAAGTATATATCAAAAAGAAAAAAATGTCAAACATAAAGAATAATACAATGAACAAAAGAATTAAAGTGATTATAAAACATATTAAAATAACTGTAAATCGCGAAAATAACTAGTTGAAACATTTAAATAAGTTATTTAAAAAAAATTAAATAGCAAATCTCGAGCATTATTGTATACTCAAAAGGAAGATATCAAAACATAAATGGATTTTTGTTGGTCTATGCAACGAGTCTAGTGATTTTTGAAGAAACCAACATGGTGTTGCCGCAAAAGTCAAGCACTTCATGCAAATGTTGCTGAAGAGCATTTGTGCTCTCAAACTTTTCATCACATGAACTACAAGCGATATTTTTAATGGCCGGCGGTGGCAGAAATTGAAACTGTTCGGATTTAAGTCCGGGCTGAATATCCGATTTTCCAGACAATTGAGTGTTTACGACTCCTTTGTCGTCGATCTGTTTAGTAACAACTTTTGAGTTGTTATTGATCTTCGCTAAAAATGCGATTATTTGTTGCTTTCTTTGCCACCGTGGTCCTTTAATCTTACGTTTTACACGTTGATGCGTATCTATAACGCGAGGCACCGATTTCAGAGCTATGCGATGCATAAAACACCGATGATGTTGCAACGCCTTAAGAGTGTCATAAATTTGACAGCAAGCATTGCATATGTGTTTGTCCGAACTTTTGTGATTATTCGCCTTGTGTATGCGCAATGAAGAGCGCGACATGAAATATTCACCACAAGTTTGGCACATTAAATTGCGTATCAAGTGATAACGGATATGATCCTGAATGGATACTGGATCGTAGAAGACACCACCACAACCTGGTATCTTACATTTCAGTGTTTCTCGAGGATTGCGGTGATCTGATTCGACGTGTTCCCAAAGTTGTGTCTCCGTTATGAAAGACATACCGCAATAATTACAAGCAAACGTTTTTTCCAACGTTTCCACTGGACCACTGACTTTTGATCCCGAGGACATATCACTCAACCCCCCGGAAGTTGCAAAACTAAGTGCATCCGTGTACTGAGATCTACAATGTTTATACTCGATGTGATTCCTCAATGAAGCTTCTGTAGGCATTTTTCTGCCGCAGAAATTACAATCACAAGACAAAGCCAACATTTCCTCGTAGTTATATTCAAACCTGGACGATTTTGATACGAAATCCATAGCGACATACAAATTATAACAGCTGAAGATTTTATAGTAAAAAAAAATTAAGTACGCAATTTAATATACTTCAACAACGAAAAATCACAAAGTGACAGTAAATTTTCCAACTGTTCTACAGTTGATTTTTGAATAGTTACGTTGCCAATCAGCAAAATGTATCTTAGAAATATTTTTTAGCCAGAATCATATAATTTCAGTGCCTATTACTAAAAATTAACGATAACACATTTATTAGGTATTGTTATTATAAGATTCTTAATCTTGTATAATCGTATTAACACTGCTTGATTATTTGTTACACTATTTAAATGAATTAAGAAATTTTTTTAAATAATTTTTTTTTTTTTAATTGAACAAGATATTTTGAGTAGACTTGAAAATTATTATTGCTAGTTTAATGTCTATAAACTTAATGAGATGTGTACACAAATGTAGGGAAAATCTTTTTCAAGTGAAAAATATGATTTGACGTTTTCATACTATACAGTTGAATAAGTTTTATGATGGATGCAAACAAATATTCTTTGCTGTTATGGGCTTACTTTTATGCTAATTAACTTTTGAATCTATTAAACATAATGTAACAAACACTTGCTTTTATAAAATTCTTTTAATTAATTCTGTGATTGTGCAATCTACTACCGTTATTATAATCAATGTATAAAAATACATTAAAAAATAGAGTTTTATTTATTTGACTTACTATACTTAAAATTGTTTTAGATACTTTAAATTATTCCTAATATGACAAGTACATTTAATCGTGTCGAAAATTATATTATCGTAGCCGGCGCTTAACATATGCAAAATAGGTACACCGGTGCATTCAAGCAAATTCGTTGTTTTGTGTTCACACTTGGGTGGTGTTAATAGCATTTTAAATTACGTTTTAATTATAGTTTTACTAATTAAGCTAATTTTTATCATTTCTCACACAAGACAATCTTTTTTGCCTACTTGATTCATGTAATCTTGAATTTATAATCCAATTTTAAATACTACTTTTGAAATCCGGTTAAAAACTTTAGTAAAACCTTGAAATTGTAGAGTATTATAGTTGTTATTTAAAACCAACGTTCACAGAAAACAAAATTATCAAACAGTAAAAAATAACAGGATCAGCAAATAATGCTAACAGTATGAGTAGGGATTAGATATTATACAAAGTAGTCGAAAAATCATGAAACGATGATTGACGTTTTGACTTCGTCTCCGTCAAGGTTAATATACTCATACTAAAGCGTTAATTTTTATAGTCATATTAACGTGCATTAAAACTGTGTATTGATCATTATTCCTATATTTTTATTCATGTATTAAAATTATCTATTTATTATTTATACGATTGTTTGTAACTATTTTAAAAACTTGAAATTTATATATTTTTCTAATTACATTATTATTATTAATTTTTCGTGTGTACAGCTCAAGTTAAAATAGAATTGCTGGTCCATTTATAAATTCTAATAGTGTAGAAGCTGGCTAGTCCTGGGGTTTTACCGTTTTTTAGTTTATTAAGAGAAAGAAGCCAGACGTGCAAATGACTGACGAGTCATTAGTCCTTAGTTTTACTATTTTTGATCTAAGGCCGTGCTGACAGGTCCGGAGGCTACCCCTTAGTAGTTTCATATTTGTGGGGATATTGTGTTCATCAGTGGTACGCCAGCGGGAGGACTCGAGGAGATCCAATAAATGCGATTTGACGTTGAATATTAATATTCATTAGTGTATGTATTCGTGTTGACGGCCAGGTCAAGGCCGTGTACGACAAAACAAAATATCAATACTTAAAAAATATGAAATTATCTCACTATTTTACTTTAATATGATTAACCGATTATTTACATTGATTATAAACTATTTTCACAACTGATTTTTTCTTCAAATTTAATTTAATATAAATTTTAAAATATATATTTCTACGCATGATATTTTTTACTAACACATATTCGTTGAAATAATTATAAAATAATGAAATAATTAATCAATCTTGAGGTATAAATGTATAAGATATTATATAACTGAGATAGGAAAATGACTTTTATTTTATAAGAAAAGTGTATTCTGTAAGGATTCTTTAATACATAAAGGTTAATCTATTCTATATATAAATGTATAAATTTAAATGTATATTACATTACATTGTAATAAATTGAATGTAATAATGACTATAAATACGACTTTCTTCCTTTTAATCGCTTTTAAAACTACTTAATCAACTTCTTAACAAAATGTAAATAGAAAAAACATGCTAAAATAATTACATTCATATTTTAAAAGTTCATTAGATTTTGTTAACAATGTTCTGTCGAACATTTTTTTATTCAGTATTCCGTGATTTGCAAATAAGATGTTAGATGTCATTTGCAATAAAAAATTTGTAGCACGCCTAAAAAAAAATTATTTATTAATTATGATAAAGGCACAATATCAAATAAAACACAAAACTTTGCTATTATTGCCTTATTTTTTTTAGGAGACCAGTATAAAGCGAAAGTTATAAATAAAAATTGAACAGACTACAAATGTTTGTGTGTTAAATAA